CCTTTCTTCAACAGCTCACCAATCTTCCTCAACACATTCCCACCATTCCTTCTATTCTTCCCTAATTCCTCATCGGCCCCACACTCATCATCCGTCTCACCACCACCGTTTTCCGAGCCCAATTTCCCTCCAATCGCATGATAGTCAACTCTCTTCCCGTTGACCGACAGCATGGCAGTTGCCACCTCAGCCGCCTTCCTCCACTGATCCGACTGTACTTTCAGCCTCCTCAGCTCAGCTTCCAATTCCGAATTTGAAACCTGACTCGCATCAAGCTGCTCGGCTGCATGTTCAGCTCTTTTCCCGCTTTTATTCGATTCCTCTGTTAAAGCACTCACCTTTACCAACCCCTCATGCTCGATTTTCCTCCTCTCCGATTTTAGCAACTCGTTCTCTTTCACGAGTCTCTCGATTTCCAAACTTTTTTCGGATAATTTCGACATGAGGTCTCGTAATGTCGATTCCAGAGTTTTCGACTCGATTTCTCTCCGCGTTGACTTTTCCGTGAGTTCTTGAATTTCGATTCTTGACTCGTCGAGCATCGACTTTAATTCGGCTATTTTATTGCCAGATTCCGATTTTGCCCTCTCGACGAGATCATACGCGTTCCGAATCTCGAGTGTGCTCTGTATGTACTCGTCTCGGTAGCTTCTCTCGGCGGCCTCGAGCTCTGCCTGCAGATTTTGCACTTTAGTCCTTAGACTTTCCACTAATTCCACATCATCAGCCTCCTCCTCAGTTTTCTTAACAACCGACATTTTTTTGCCCTCCAATTCGGCTTTGAGCTTTTGGATCTCGTTTATGGCGGAGGATAATGCGGAGGATTGCAGCTCATGCTGCTTTTGGACAGCTTCGAGTTCGGATTGCCAAGCTCGGTCTCGGTCGTGGGAAATTTTCCGAAGCTCCTGAAGACGGGAGTCCTCGGATTCGGATATTTCGTCCAGCTGGATTCGGGTTTCTTGGAGCTCTGCTGACGTGGCCGCCAGGTGGCGCTTGGCTTCGTCAGCCTCCAGCTCGGCTTTTCTTTTGAGAGACTCGGCCTTTTTTAGTTCGTCTTGGAGGTGGGACAGCTGGCATTCGAGCTCCGAGATTCGGGTAGTTGGTTTTTTCTTCTGAAGATTTTTACAGAAAGGGAAAAATGAAAAAGAAAGTGAAGTAACTTTAAAGTTTAAACAAACAAACACATTTATGTATTGTTTTGTTTCAGTTAAGGATTCCTCTTGTTCTGATAAGACAATCATTCTTTCTTTTTAATTCAGCCCTGGCTTCTAATCTTTCTTTCTTTTCTATCGTTTTTGAATTTATACAGTATAAAGAGCATATTTTCACTTTAAGGCAATAAAAAAAAGGGAAAATACAAGAAAGAACTAAAGAATTAATGCTTATACTGTTATACATACACACCTCGGTTATCAGCTGATTTCGCGGTGACCTTCGGTCGATTACTTTAGGACTTTTGTTGTCCTTTGGCATTTTGCTGACCGGATTCGGAGAATCGGAATCTGATCCCGTAATTTTTAGCTTACGAACGACTTTTGGTGTGGAAGAAGATGATTTTGGCGCCATCTGAAGAGAACTGGGTCTGCAGTACAAGAAAAGGTTAAACTAAAGACCAAAGACTAATTTTACCTAACATAAAAACAATTTGAATTTTTTTTGAATTCTTTTTTAACATGAATCTTTCTTTTTCTTTCTTTTACCTTGAAGTAGGGGTCTGCATATTGTGCTGTTTCAGCAGTTTTTGAAGATTGCAACAGATTGTATGTACTCAAAGAGCCCCCACCTGACCCACAACTCAGTAATTATAAGTTATAACACTTCAGAAAGATTTTNCCAACCAATAAAAAAAATTTAGAAAAAAAAAAAAAGAAAAGAAAAAAAAGTTGACAAAGAAGTGGACATGAAACAAAGAAAAAGACAATATCACACATTCCATTTGATTTTTTTTTTTCCTTGAAATGTACTCTAGGACTTAACACTGTTTAGGAATAACATTATACAACAAGCAAAAGCAGTAAGAAGCTTCAAATTTCAACAACATTCTTCATCACAAACGTTGAAACGTAAAAACACGCTAAATTTGCCTTATAAATTTCCTAAACCTGCATCCGTTTGTGTTCGAATATATTTTGAAATTACTTTTTTCATTAAATTTTTATTCCTAGTTTGGTAAAAATATCTTTTTCTCATACAAGAACAAACCATAATAGAGCCCATCTCAAGACCTCAAAAGGGCAATACTAGATTTGCTGGTGACCTGAGCTCTTTCCTAAGACTTCCTATTTTCTAAACTCAATAACATTGTTAGTCATAATTAGGCAATTTACTTGGGAAATGAAAGACACTAATTACATACATATGGTAAATATATTATATAATCCCACTGGACCATAAAAACACCTAGATAATAATAAAGCATACAGACTGTATGATTCATTCATATAATACACACTGAAAACGAGACATGAATAATGAGATGAGATTTTAAAAAGTACTAGTATTACCTAACAGCTTTTCGATGAAAACACAAAAGAAGGAAAAAATAAAAAAATAAAATTGCCCATTCTTTCTACTGTTTTCTATTTTGAAAAAAAAATGGCGTCCCATGTTTTGCTGAAACAATTTAGATCTAAATAACTCGAAAAAGATATCTTTTCTCAAACCCCATAATCCAAAATAAAGGAATACACGCTGCACATAAATGTTCTTACATATCTCGCCCGTGTCAAAAAATTCAATCTTTATTAGAACTTTGTAAGTATTATCTCACATTCTGGAACTGAAATAACCAAAAACAAGAAGGGAAAAAAGAGTCCCTCCATCAAAGATCAAATTTTAAGGGGCAAAATGAAGAAAACAAAACAGCTCACATGAAAAAATCTTGGTGAAAAGAATCATAGATTGCCTCTCAAAATAATAAAAAAATAAAATAAAATAAAATAATAACACCAAGAAAACATTTCAAGTCACAACAGAACAAAAAAAAAATTATCATTGTTGAATCAAAACGAGCCAGCAGAACCTTGTGAAAAAACGATCAAAAAATATTTAAAAAAAAAACAGGCGAAGCTTAGAAATCCTTACAAGAGCAAACAAAATTTATTTCAAAATCACAAGAGAAATTAATGAGAGAGAGAGAGAATACTGTATTCGTACAACGTGAGAGAGAGTAGCTGCTGCAAACAATACAGTTTTTTTTTTCTGAAGCCCCCTTTTCTTGCTCTGTCTTCCCTCTGCCCCTTTTGTTTTCTTGTCAGAAAGAAAGTGAAAAAAAGAGTGAAGGTGACTGATAAAATAGCTACATTTTTTTTTTGAGTTATTATTATTATTTTCAATTAAAAGAATTTTATCAATTCATTTATTTTTATAGGTCAATTAATCTGGCAATATGGACGTTGTATTATGCAATTTAAGAATCCTGTGAATTATTTGAAAAATCTGTCAGTATGTTATATTATTATTTAATTAATACTACACTTGTTCGGTACGTGCGTGTGTATAGTGATGGGAGAGGAGCTAACTGCTAAGTATAAAATGGTAATAATAATAATAATAATAATAATAATAATAAATATACCATTCAATTAATGGGATTTTATCACTGAAAAACTCAAAACTTGTAGTAGTATTCAACTCACGGGGCGTTTGGAAGTTGGAACTCCAATGGACTTGTTACTTGTTAGAAGGATCTAATTATGTTATTTTAAGCATTTGATGTTTTAAGTATTTGGTCAAAATTAATCATAAGATGTTCCCAATGAAATTGGTGTAATTTAAATAGTCAACTTCATGCAAGATTATATATATTTTAAAAAAAGGTGTATAAAAGGAAAAAATATATCCATTATTAATTTCGTCTACTTAAAATGGTGGCTATATATTGACTTATCAATTGTATTGGTTTGACAGGAAAGTGGATTTTTTTACAATTAATAAATAAGCTAGATATGAAAATAATAATAATAATAATAATCTTTACGAGATGATCCATTAAGAAATCCTATATAATTCAATTTAGTACTTCATATTGGCATTTTTCATTAAAAATGGTGCAAATGTTCTTATTTTCAGTGTTCACGAATGAGTAAGAATGGGTCGAAATTATATTATATGGCCGTTCGGTTAAGGCAGTGTAGTTGCATTTTCAAATGTTTTCTCCTCAAATTGTTATACATTTGGTATGTTTATAATATTTTTAAAAAAAAGGAAAGATAATTGATTTTTTTCCCTCATAAGTGGATATTTTCACTTGTGTTGTCAACTTAATTGTACACTGGGTTGGTAATGTAGCATTTTTCATTTATAAGAATAATGCTACATAGCCAACTTAGTATACAATTAGATTGACAACACAAGTAAAAACATTCAAAAAAATAAAAATAAAAAAATACATAAGTGGATATTTTCACTTGTGTTGTCAACTTAATTGTACACTGGGTTGGTAATGTAGCATTTTTCTATTTATAATGTTTAAAGTAAAAGGAAAGATAATTATTTTTGTTTTTGTTTTGATTAAAATAATTATTTTTATTTTCATGTTTTGAAATTCACATATTAAATTTTTATCAAGAGAAATACTTATTAAAATATTTGAAAATGCCAAAACTCTAGCCTCTAAAGTAAGTAGAAAAAAAAATGTCTTAATTTGCTTTAGTCACACTTAGAAAAAAAAATATATTTATAAGTGTTAGGTCGGCATATACTTTTTACAAATGTACATATTTTTATTAAAAGACGTCATACTTTAAAAAATAACATAAATATAAGTATGTCATTTAATATTATAAATATGTATTTTCATTCACATAGTATGGTAAGTCGACTCGCCTAATGATTAGACTACCTCACATAAAAATTTGTATTAATAAAATAGATAATAAAGCAAACCTACTTCAACATTTGCAATATCATTATAACAATCAAACTACTGTTAGACAAATATTTTTTTCAATAGATATGCATACTTTCATACACATGTGACATACTTTAAAAAATAACATAAAGAAAAATTTAACACTTCTCACTAAAAGGATGCAATTTTGTTCCAAAAGTATGACGGGTTGACCCGCCTAACCGTTAAGCTGTCTCACCCAAAAATTTGTATTAGTAATAAAATCAATTGTTATACCATTGCTCAGGTCAATCAAAGAGAAACAAAATACTCCCTCCTATTCATAATAAGTGTCGTTTTAGGAAGTTGCATACTAATTAAGAATAATTTTTTTGCCAATAATAACCCTCATTAATGAAGATAGAAGTAGATTTGTTTAAAAAAAAATGAAGAGAATATGAAAAGACGTAGTGTATTTATTAATTAAATGATGGTAATAATGAAAAATATGTACTCCCGCCTATTCATAATAAGTGTCGTTTTAAGAAGTTGCACACTAATTAAGGATATTATTTTTTTGTCAATAATAACCCTCTTTAATGAAGATAGAGAATGATGTTTTGGGAAAAAATGAAGAGTGAATATGAAAAGACGTAGTGTATTTATTACCTAAATGAGGGTAATAATGGAAAAATATGTACAAAAGATCCAAAACGACATTTATTTGAATAATAGTTAACAAAGCCAAAATGACATTTAAAAAGAATAGGAGGTAGTACAAAAGATCCAAAACGACATTTATTTTGGTTAATAATTGATAAAGTCAGAATGACATTTAAAAAGAATAGAAGATAGTAATAGGTTCATAATTTGTAGTCAATAATGTGAAGCAACATAAAGAATATTACAGCAACGGATAGTTATGGTATGGTTGGTGTTTTTAAACCAATTTATTGCTGGAGAGGAATTTGCTTGACAGATTAGTATTAGCATATCACCCAAATTAATTATCTGCATAACAATAACAATTTAATGCTTTCAAATTTTTCCAACTTATTTCTTATGCAATTTTCTCAACAACGTTCCTTCTAAACTAAATAGGTGATTATGTCACTTTCAGACATCATATAAATAATAATTATGTCGCTAACAGAATTATTAGCTCAATCTCTGTTGGTTATATGGGACAAAGTTAGTAGCTGCATATGACAAATATTGTAGCGGACCAAAAATTCTTTAGTTTGGTTAACTTGCCACACGTGGCAAGCAATTCAAAGATTTTGAATATTTTTTTCATCACATGATTTTCGGTTGGACATTTTTTTGTTAGTATGATATAAATCAAGAAAATAACTATAGTATTTTATACATATATATCAATTTATTTAAATTGGTAAACGGATTGTTTGTATAAAAGTTAAAATGCCTCCATAACATATAACTTCTTTTCTCTTGAGAAAGACTAATAGTGTCAATGCAATGTATATACATTGAGCATAAATCTAAGGCCATTGTATATTTTTTTTAATAAAATACATACTTATCCATAAATTGTCATAATTTTGTTTTTTAAAATATAACATTTTAATTTGAAAGTTTACATATAGTTTATAAAAAGGTTAGTTGCAAATAATATCTTAACTTTTTGTCTAATTACAAATAAAACTCAACCTTTTCAATTTGACAAAAAAATACCGAACCTTTAATAAGTGTAGCAATTGTGTCTCAATCACCTTCCGCCGCCGCCGGACCGCCGCCAACCGCCACCCGCCGCCGATCAACTTTGACGAATGTTGAAAATTTTTACATGATTTTGTAGCTCTCCTCCGTGCCGACAACATATCCGAGTTTCACGAAAAAATTCTGACGATAAGGAGATGACAGGAAAAGTCGTCACCGGAAAAAGTCACCGATTCCGGCGAAGGTGGACGTCACTAGATGCGGCTTTGCGAGAGGAGTTCAACGGTACCTTAGGATTCACGTGGGTCAAAGCGAGTCACCGGGAATTTGCGAAAGAACGCTGGAGAAAATTTGTAGATCTACGAGCTTTGACCGAAAAATTGGAAGTCTTTATTGTTGGAATTTTTTCGTGAAACTCGGATATGTGTCGGCACAGGGGAGAGCTACAAGATCATGTAAAAATTTTCAACATTCGGCGAAGTTGGCAGGCGGCGGGTGGCGGTTGGCGGCGGTCCGGCGGCAGCGGACGATGATTGAGACACAATTGCAACACTTATTAAAGGTTTGGTATTTTTTTGCCATATTGAAAAAGTTGAATTTTATTTGCAATTAGACAAAAAATTAAGATTTTATTTGCAATTAACCCTTTATAAAATTATGACTGTACGTACATGTCTAACAAGTAACAAGTTAACAATGAAAAAAATTATAGTTAGAATCTTTCAAGTGGAATGAAGATTAACTTTGGTCTAAATGACCCACACCATACTACATTATATCACTTAGGCTGGACTTCTATTGGATACATTATATCACTTAAGCTGGACTTCTATTGGATTAGGACATTTTAAAAGACTATAAGAAATTAAGTATACACCTACCAATTAACTTCCGGCCTAATGAGAACTCAATGTTATTTTCAGTTCTCTTGGCTATTTTGATAAAAACAATTTTTTGTACGAGACCTTAATCATTGTAGACCCGTCATATTACTGGAACAAAAATTATATACTTGCACTGTAAAATATCATATTTCTGTTTATGTTGCATTTTAAAGTATGACATCTATATCTATATCTATATTTATATCTATATTTATATCTATATCTATATCTATATCTATATATATATAAAGAGGTTGGTGAAAAAATACATTAATAGAAAGTTTGACCAAATAAATATAAGGTTTGACTTACTATTAATGGAAAGTTCGAAAAAACATATGTAAATCTTTAAAAACAAAATCTGAATCCTATTTTTTCGGTAACAAATTTGGAGATCCTTATGGCAAAATTTGAATTCCATTTTTTTCGTATCATATTTTATTACCAAAATTTAAATCATATCTTTTTTGGTAACAAATTTAGAAATTCTTATGCAAAAAATGTGTCAATTATTTATGAAAACAATTCTAAATACAAATCAATTTAAAAACTGTGCAATTTGGATACAAATTTACAAAACAAATATTTGTATAATTTCTAACCAATTCTTCCAATCTTAATGAATAATTTTTTCTTAAAAAAAAATGTGTAAATTGGTTAAAACCACGTGCAATATTTATTTTAAAATAAAACTGATATTTGGATGGGATATACATTCAAAATTGTGCCCAAATTTTTTGGTAACAAAAGTGGTTCATCTTTTAAAATAATTAATTGCACACCATATTTAGAAAATTTTAGATATTTTAAATCATAAAATAGGGTAGCATTAAATGCCCCTAAAATTATGGATTTTGTTGAATTCATTTTTGAAAATTTCGACAGATATTAAAGTGAATATGAAATTCAAAATCTCTTCTCATTTTATTTTTAATAAAATCTGCATCCAAATTTACGTGTGGTTTTGAAGTGAAAATTTGAAATTCAAAATCTCTTCTCATTTTATTTACAAGAAAATCGGACTGCATTCAACACTTGGACCAATTTAAAAATTATTCTGAAGGAATTTATAAATAATTGTTATCTCTACTCAATCACATGATTATTTTCAATATAAAAAGAGACAGATTACAAATTAGTGAATCATATTAGTATAAATATTTTAGTGAGATAATATATTATTTACAAGCTAGCCTTAACATGCTCATATTTAATGTTCTTGCTAAAGAAAAAACAACGCTGGTTAAAAGATGTGGAAAAAAATCTTATAATAACCCTATTGTTGTTTTTTAGACTTAACGTTGATTAAAAGAGATACAAAATAGATAATAACCCTATTTGTTTTTAGACTTAAACGGACAAAAGTGTGAAAATAACTCATTTAATATCTTTGTCTCGTACATCACACGAGGTACGTACTAGTTTTCTAATAAAAGTGTGTTTATTTATATAAATAGCATGTCGTTTCTTGGTTAGGCCGACCAAACACGAGACTCCATTTAGTAAATTGATTTGATGAAGAAATGAAACAAAAAGAAAAATATTTTAAAGGGGTACAAATTAATTTGTAGCACACTGCCATCACATAAAGTTCATAATTTGGTCCTCAAGAAACACATTCTTTTACAAGGCAAGAATTACAATTTACAAACAAATTTCGGTCAATAGTATAACCTTATGACAAAATTTCATTGACGGAACACATCAATTTCTAAGTAAGAAGGAAGAAAAGTTGGAAAAATAAAAATAAAAATAACACGGAAATTTACGACATCTAATCTGCATGCCGATAGGTCAGAAAGCTGCAGCTTTATACGGTGCAAACTCGCATTGCATTAACTAAGATCTCTTCATCTAATGATCGACCTATAAAAATCAAAATCCACACTCAACTTTGCTAATGCAACAAAGTAAACTCTTGTAAAAATGGTAATTTGAGTATGAAAATGCAGATACCAATAAAGACAATTTTGTTAATTCTGTTCTCGTCATCTTTCCAGTTGCGGCTCGGAACTATCTCGTACACTTCCCTCACAGCCTGCAATATTAAAGGAAATTTTGATAATTATATTAAAATAAATGGAAGTTTAACATTACTTTAACTAACATCACATCTAGTTCTGAAGCATTTTTACCTGCAGGGTATATAACTGGTCCGAATTTGAAATACTTAAAACTCCTTTGCATCGGTAAACATCCATGCCGTATTTCTTTTCCCAAAGGATCTCTTCTATCCAAATCTTAACCTAAACGAGCAAGCATATAGAAAAAAGCCCATATCATTTTTCAATTCGATAGACAATACATATATGATGTATCTTTTACAGCAAGTGTAAAATTTAGGTTACATAACTTATATTTTAGGTTAACCTGTCTTAGAACTACTTTCGAAAGTACCTTCTCAAGATCAACTGTCTTCGGCTCGGAAATGCAGAGTGTTCTTACACCACTGTCATGAATATCATTGGTGGAAAGAGATTGACTTTCTCTCAGTAAAGTCTGGAAGTGATTGGCATGCTGTAATGAAAAGACAACTTTTGACGGTGAATTTGAGCTTAATTATAGACACGAATGAGCGCATGCATGAAAAAGAGAGAGAGAGAGATAGAGAGAGAGAGAGAGAGAGAAAAGGAAACTAACTTTCGAATCATAAGCTTGACAGTTCAGTATCATGGACAAATCAACTTGGCAGCGAAAAGTACGGATAACTTTGGCAAGTGAATTAATATTATGTATGTCTTTTTCCAGATCTTCTATGTGAACTCCAGAATCATCATCACCCACCAGATCGACTTTATTAAGAATCACAACATCCTATGACAAATGGAAAAAAAATCCAAAAAAATCTCCAGATTTTATTTGTCCTAAAAAAATACTGAATCAGTCAATAAGTAAACGGATTCACAAGCTTTGGACCATAATGAGACTATTACCGCAAATGCAATTTGATGATACGCTTCAGGAAAAGACGAGGAGTCGTGATGTGATTTGAGCTGATATCTGAGGTTTTTGGCATCAACAACCTGGAAATGTGTAAGAACCCGAAAACTAACATATGTATTATGTGAATTGCCTAAGAATCCAAGATCATATTATGTGAATTGACTAAAAATCCAAGAGTTCACGTATGAAAAGGAAGCTAACAGTGATAATTGAGTCGAGCCTAACATCCGATTCCAATTGGTCATCCAACCAAAGAACAGAAGCAAGAGGGGCGGGGTTTGCTAAACCTGTAGTCTCCAGTAATATATGGTCGAGCCTGTCACACAATATAAATAAAAGCAATGAAAATAAATACAAAATTTAGGTGTTGGTTCACTAATATTCACAAAGCATAATAACTCCACACCAAAACTTCATGAAGAATTTCACTATCATACTTCATCTACTCTAGTTCCCATTAAACATCTAGAAATTCAGGGGAAAAGAAAAATCAACCTAAAAGAAATCATGAATTTACGAAATGTTTTCGACCCTTTTGATTGCACACATTGGTTTTCTCAGATATAGAAGGTTATCCTAATATCCCCAGAAAAAATAACTAGAGTGTCGAAAAATAACAAACGACGATATAATTAAACCTTTCCTTTCTCTGAACAAGCTGCTCGAGTGCTTGAACCAAGCTGTGCTTAACCGTGCAGCAAATGCAGCCGTTTGCAAGCTCGACCCACTCCTCCACAAGAGCTCCACCTTCTCCCTCGTTGATCATTGCTCGCTCGACTCCTATCTCCTCACCAAACTCGTTCAGTATTACTGCTATTCTCTTCCCGTGTTGCCCATTCAATATATAATTCACCAACTACAAAGCATAATAACAAAAAATTAGCCGGAAAAGCCAAGGGGTCAACAGGTCAAGTAAGTGATTTTTATCATAAAATTGCTGAACAGCCACCCATCTCACAATTACCTCAAACAGAGATCATGCTAAGTAAGCTCGACTGAGAAACCAAGAATTTGCCGTTTACAAGCACACAATAGAATTTTAATCAGAAAATTGGCAGCTCAAATTTAGCAAAAATCCCCAATTCCATCATCTCACAAGCAAAATTTAGGTATTTCTAATGACCCCGATTCCAATTACGCAATGCGAGCAAAAAAAAAAGGAAGGAATCTCCGACGAAGTTCGTAAAGTCGATTCAACAAAATAGGAGCCCTAATTTCCATACCGTTGACTTGCCGGCGCCGAGATATCCCGTGATGACGGTGACCCCGACCGGTTGAGCTTCTGGAAGAAGATCTGGCCGTCGACCAGAGTTCCCCTCATCGGACGGACCTGGTGCAACCCCTCCGCCAACGACGCCGTCGATCGCGACGGCGAGCGGCGGCTCCTCGTCTTCTTCTCGCTCCATATTTCGGGTTGGCGAAATAGAACACCTTTTATATAAGAACTGAAGGTAATAAAATTTTACTAAGATCACGAATTTAAAATAATTCAACCTCTTTCTTTAATTATATTAACAACAATAATCCTATTATTAATCGAATATATTATATGAAAGAAGACTCCATAACAGTCACACTCTTTCCACTATAAATACCACACAAATCACAATTATCCCTTCAAAATTTACAGATCTGTAAATTCTTCTCCTCTATTCGACATTTGTAAACTCTTTGTATTTATATTTTTTTCAATTACAAGAGCAAGCAATGGATCCGGGTCGGGTATCGACTGATTTGACAACGGGTGAATTGCCATACGGGTATAGGTTTCACCCGACTCCATTCGAGGTGGTTCAGTATTATTTAGTGCCAAAATTAAGGGGTGAAGGACTTCCATCGGGCTACATTAAAGATCTTGATGTGTACAAATTTGATCCTCAACAAATTCCTCTAAGTAAGTGTTTTTTATTTTATTTTTTTTTGTTTGGTCGATTTTTATTTTTTAATGTCTGTGATTGATAGATGATGATTTTGATTTTTGGTGTTTGGGATTGACAAATTTGGTCCACAAACAAATAAATTCCTCTAATATTCTTCTAAGTGTTTTGTTTATGGTCGATTTTGAATTTTGGTGTTTGAATTGATATGCTTGTGTGTTTTCCTATTCCTATACAATGTACTTTGTTTTTCTAAGTTTATATGTATCCTATATTGCCAAATTAGATCAATCGAAGTACGCAAGAGACAACGAATCGTACTTTTTCGTACCAATTACTCGAGAGCTTTTACAAGCCGTGCGCAATTTGACGAGAACAACACCCAATGGATATTGGAAAATGTTGGAATGGAATATTCCACTTTACGAACCCGATGGTTCTATAATCGGGCACAAGAACAAACTCGAGTTTTACAATGGAAAGTATCCGAATGGAGTTATTACGCAATGGAAGATGGTCGAATATCGGACTTGTTTTCGAGCTAATGGCAATGTAAGTACCCTACTTGTGTTTTTTTGTTTTGTTTTTTTTTTGTTTTTAATTCTTATATATCGTTGAGCTTCTTTGGGTTTTAAGGATTTGAGCATTCAATTATATTAGTACAAAATGAGTTGTATGCGACATGACACGAGGCAATTGTCTTGTTTATTTGTACCCAATTGTCTGGTTTATTTAGGTTTTAAAGAATTCCATAAATTGCATATAAGATCTTTAATTGTGTTTTGCTAAAAAAAGAAAAGAAAAGAAAACTTCTTGATTGCTTGTTTGGACTTTGGACCGGTTAATTCCTTATAATAATCTTTTTTCCTTTTTCTTTTTTTATTTTCAGGTTGAGAGTTTAATGGTTTGTAAAATCAAGTTGAAGGTTGAGGAAGAGGTTATTTATGAGGAAATATCATCTGCTTCTGGAGAAGAAGAGGGTGACAAAGTTGAATAAATTAATAATGTGTTTTTTTTATTANAAACATGATTTTTGTATCTGAACTTAAGTTTTATAACTATGTACAAAACCACTTACTTTGGTGAAAAAAAAAAATGTTCTTGTAACAATACATGTCAAAAACTTTTTATAATCACAGTTGTTTTCCCAAATATATTATAATTTATATATAATATAGTTTAAACTATCTTAATTAACATACAGTACTTTTTATAAATATAATTTAAATAAAGTCCATATAACTTATATATTCACTAGCTATTACATTTCAATTATACATGTTCAAGTATATTATTTGAAAAGTTAGATGCCATTTTCGTTAATCGAACTCATGTCATAAACTATAAAACAATGTTGGAGAACCCAACGGTTCCAACTTAATAAATCGAATAATTAATTTTAAAAAATTTTAAATTATGTTTATATTATTTTTATCTTATAATTCTACATAATAATATCAAAACTAAATAATTTATTAGTAAATTTCATACCTAAAGTTTTAATAGTGTTATATGTTCATAAATATTTATCATATAAATATACATATACTAATACAATATTCGTGTATTATAATCTTGCTAGTTAAAAAAAATTATACTTAAGTTTAAAAAGTAATAGTACAATACACACACATTACACAAGTGCAATGTATACATAAACTTAAAATGTAATAAAAAAAGTATGTTTTAAATTTTAAATATTTTTTTTCAAAAAATATATTATTATTATTATATTTAAACTGATACTATCACAAATATTATTTAATCATCTTATATTATAATTTTTTTTTTAATTTATATCATATAACTACTTTGTAGTTAAATTTATTTAATTGATAAATAATTTATTTTTTTTCAATAAAATTAATAGATGATTTAATTTTTATTTGTAAATATAGATATAACTATTATTTACTTTATCATATGATATAGATGTCAAATCTAAGCTAATGAAGAGATGAATAATTTGATATATTATATATAAAAAAATTGATAATAAATATAAAAGTTAAATTTTAAAATACATTTACAATTAAGTTAGTAAAGCGTATTATAATTAAAAAAAAAGGGACTGGGAGGTAAATAAAATATTGAGGCAAAAAAAATTCATTTATTCTAAAACACGTTTAGAATGAAAAGTTATATTAAAATATAATTTTATACTCATAAAATTAGTTATAAATATCCGATATATTTATGAATAATTTCAAGCTAATTGTTTACGGACTGGATGTAAATTAAAATCTATTCAAGCCAAATGAGCATGAAATTTTCTACATATGACTCCATGCGAGCCTACAACTTATAGATTCAATATATTCGAAAATTATATATAGGTAATATTCATCCTCATAATTTTATTTTAAACAATAAAAAAAATGTATATTTTGGCCTATAAATAATCACATCACCCAAACAATACAAATATTCGCCGTCATATACGACACGTGCAACTAGTGTTTTTGCTTTTCTTTTCAATTAGGTTTTTTGACACGTGCGGGCTGAACCGGGTCATCTATTCGTGTCGTTCCCCATCTATATATATTGAAAAAGGTTGATGTAAAAATAAAAAATAAAACGTAAAAATATCTGGGTCAAACCAATTGACTTACCACTTATAGAAGATCAGTTTAAAATTTCAAAATTCCATTCAATTTTCACGTTACTGCTTTTCTTTTATTTGTTAATATGGAATCAACAACATTCCATATTTTATGCATTTGAAAATCTGTTAACACGTTTTTCATTATAGGTGAGATTTTAATTTGAAAAGAAATCTTGAATATAATATTGTTTGAAATTTTAAATTTACGGCTTACCCCAAAGTTTCCAATTCTCTTTCAAAACCATTTGGTTTGGACTCAAAAATCAGTTCCCAAATCGTTTGAATTGAAATAAATGTTCATTATTGATTAGGAAATATTTTATTTATTTTAAAAATCTCACTGTTTATCAAGACATTATTTCAAAACATGATTTTTATGAAAAAATTATTTATTTAGTAGTTATATTCTATTTCATTAATCAATGTGCACGGAAATATGCTTATAAGAAATTATCTTAATTACTAACTACTCTCATTTATGTAATTGATGTACAATCGAAATTCTTTTAGTTTTAAAAGAAAATAATTTTTTAAATATTGACGAATTGAATTTCTATTTTACTTTAAAAAATTATTTTTTGAAATATGATTTCAAATGCATAGAAGTTAAAAACAAGTGATTACTTTGCCATAAATAATGTACCACGAATCAGTACTTATGTACAAATAATTGTGAAGATTAAAAAATTTAACTAATTATAAAATCAATTAAATGAACGATGAATATAAAGTTCACATCAATCAGATATATTGTTTTCTTATATATAGGATAGAGACACGAGTAATTTAATCTGAAACACATATAAAAGATTTTGGTGATCTCTAGCCACATCTTATTTTATCAAATGGTACTGGTTTGATTCAGTTAGATAAAAACATGTAGGAAACATGCATGTATGGCATAGAATATATCACATTCCAAAATCTTCATTATTAGCACAAATTTAAAAAAAATCAGATTAAATATACTCAATACAAATCTTGCACGATTTTTAAAACTATTAATTATGGATTACACACATAAATGTTTCCAAAAAAATACATTTAAAAATTACATCAAATGTCACATTTGGTTTACATATTCAAATTATAAGTTAGAAAGAGTAATAAAACTTGTCAAACGTTTTTGTAAAGAAAATCTCTCCACAGATTATCCCAAATAAATTTCAGATAAACATGGTATGTATGTCTGATTTATTTACATACTGAGTTCTTGAACAACCAACCAAAACTCTAATTTATAAATAATTATTAAATGATAACATAATCCTTTATAGATGGCACAAGATTTGAAGTGAATTTTTCCTAGGAAATCTATACCATAAATAAGCAATTCAAATATGTACCATACAGGATTTATAATATTTGAATATGTTAATTTTTATTATCCTTAATTATAAAAAAGATCTAAATTGACAATTATTTTATAACGAGTGAAATAAACATATAAATTATATATTAAATTATTAAATGATATAAGATAAAATAAAAAATAATTATTAACATTTAAAATTATTTTTATACTAATCAATATTCCTTCATTACAGTAATACATGCAATTTATGATTATTGACCCGTGCATCGCACGGGCTACGTACTAGTCTCTACAAAAAAGCGAGATGGCAGCGAAAATTTTTCCCCCAAATCTCCTTCTTCCCTCCAATAACCCTTAATGGAGCCCATCAATTTTTTTAATGTTTCGTTTTGATCATCAAATTCAACGATTCCTTGATTCGAATCGCTTTGTCTTCTGTTCATCGATCCATTTTTCGGACGAATCTGTTGGAGTTGAGGAATTCTAACTTTTCTACTTAAATCTTCCGATCTGTACGATTTGTTTATCTAATTTGTTTGTGATTTTTAATTTTTTCTGTTTTCAGCGTACGATTTATGTTTCCCCCCTGTCGATTTGTTTCGAAACTGTAGTTTCAATTTGGGATCTGTCGATATGTAGGGGTTGTGTGTTCGTGGTGATTGCTTATTGTAGGGCTCCTTGGATTTGTGAATTGATTTGGGGTTTTTGTATGTCTGTTGCTGAATTGAAATTTGGTATATATGTATATATAGGATGTGGTTCAAATGAGAACCAAGTCCTAGTGTGAGAACCGTGAGAACCTATATATATGTATATATGTATATATATATATGTATATATATGTATATAGGATGTGGTTCAAATGAGAACCAAGTCCTAGTGTGAGAACCGTGAGAACCGTTATTTTTAATTGTACGTAGTGCTATGATTGATTGTGTTTTAGTGCTATTTTTAACATTGATGTATTTTATTAAAAATAGCAACACCATTTGTATTAGCATTTACGAAAATGATAGCACCACGTGATATTAAAAATAGCATCATACATAATAAAAAATAGCATCAAATATGCTCTCACGGTTCTCACTCCAGGATTAGTTTTTATTTGAACCAGCCCCTATATATATATATATATATATATATATATTGGAATTTATGTGGTTTCTAAGAATCTAGGGTTTATGTTTTGAGTGAAATTGGTATGTTATCTAATTGATGGCGTAATCTGGTGGGTTGGTCTGAGAAATTACTGGTTTATTTTTAAAGGAGTATTAATGGCAGAAAGGGGCGAATAAATAAGGAGAATGTCATTGTGCTCATCTTCCACGTGCTTCAATTTTGTGATGAAACTTGTTGTAAACTTGATATAGTACTTATTTCATCATGAAGAAAGTATCTAAGGATTTAATATGAATTTTATTGTATAAATGTATTCAAGCGTGAAGTTAGTTATATTATCCGCTACCCAAATTTTTTTCATAAAGTGATTATATTTCACGTTTAGCTTCCTTTAAGTCGTGGTAATTTATTTAACCATGTTTTTGTCACTTCATTAGGTTAAGGGTTGTGATTGTAATTTAATGTTGGTATCTATATGTTTGTTAAATTGCAAGATTGTTGTTGACGGGTGTTTCCGGTCAACGGTTAAAGAAACAAATAATAGAAATATAGAGCAAGAAAAAGACAAAGAGATGCGATTTAATTACGATTTTATTATCAGATTACTAGGACGGCCTCTCGTACGAGGTCGGCACTTGCGATATCCTTACAAATCCTTACAGAAATTAGTTACAGATTTAGAGAGAGAAAGTAGAGAGAGAGTCTGAAAGTTGGAGATTCAACAACCCAGAAATAAATGAGATGGACTACTATTTATAGTGGCCTTAAATGTAGCACTGTTCAGATACTGTTCACCGGTCTTGTGACCTTGTCGCACAGTACTCTGGCAGAGCAGTTCGACGCCTCCCTAACGAATTAAATGCGATTTGAGGTTTTCTTCATCATTGCCTGTCAGACATTTAATGCACACATGGGGGTCATTTAATGCTGGTCAGCTTTATGTCTTGTCTAATGGGGGTAGACCTGCGGGCTATGGCACCCTGTCCAATCACCAATGATTACTCTCCAAGTGGTATTATTATACTTATTACCGAGCTCTGCACCTGTCTCTGGGACAGCCGCTCTGACGCCTCAGGTCGGCTTCTGAGCTCATTTTGTTCTTCTGACCCTCGTGAGTCTTACTTCAGCCCGCCGCCTATACAAGGTCGCCGCCGGTGCTTGAACGGCACAAATGCCAAGCTCGAGAATAGACCCGGGAAGATGTGACGGTTAACTTAGTCCGGGGTTCAACTCGGCACCCGCACACCGAACCGGGTTTCCGGTTCGGCCTTTGGAGCGGCCTTTTGTCCGGTTCTCTTTGGAGGCGAACTCGGATGTCAACAATTGTTTATTTGAATGATTTTTCATTTGTTATCTAATTTATTGACCAGTGGGAGCACAAAGGCATTTAAGCCACGTGTAGAGTTTATCCAGAGGCATTAATGTTGGTGTACGACACTTTGTCTTTTTTCGATTTTTGTTGTCTTCGTGACGTACCATGCATGAGGCTGAAATTTTTTCTTGTCTAGAAATTGTCGCAATTGAATTTGTTTGCCCCATGTTCCTACCTTTATGAAGATGGGTATCAAATGTTCGTTAAATGCAGAAGAGTTTCCAGAGCCTTCCTTCAGCCTACTCAAGACTCATGATTATAACAAAAGGCTCACTTTGAATGTAGATGGATCTCACATAAGTACTCCAAAAGTTGATTTTCCTGATAAACTGTGTTTTTTCATGGTCTTTTGTACTTAATGTATATAATTTTGAAATAACTGTGTCCGTGTATACTGATGTGTTTATCAGTAGCTTTTTTGAAGAAAAATCTCTTTAGTTCTATAACGACATAATTTCTATATCGATGTCTATACTGGAAAATATCTTGATCAACCACTATTTAAAACAGAATTATGCATGTCTTACGTAAGGTTATGTTGCACTAGGTGGAGCAAAGAATGTCTACTGTGAGTTACATTATGACGAGCCTCTTGAGCACAAGGTGCCAAACACAACATACAGAACTAACAAAGAATTCGAGACAAGTGCACCCTTGTCTCCGGTAGTCAACAGCAGTAGTGATGAGGAAGATTCCGTAGAAGGGCCCGATTCTTTCTGGCCTAATTTTCTAGAAAATGACTTCAGCATTCCTAGAAGTCCCTCAGAACAATTTCATAACTTGTACGCCTCCTTACTATATAGACCACCGAGGAAAGAAGTCCCAATTGGACTGGACTACCAAGTTGAAATCCTAATGTGGGACCCGAAGGCCAGCCGGAGAAATCTTTCGCCTTTCTACAATGAACGAGAACTGGAGCTGATGGGTAATGGCATTATCCCTATGCCTGACTTGACCCTAGATGGGCTCAAAGCGGGCCGCGGGTGGCCCGACTGCTCTTGCCACGACATGGGCTCCGTGAGATGTGTGCAGCAACATGTGAAGGAGGCAAGGGATGAGCTGCTTGACTCAGTGAGCCCAGATAATTTCATGAAGCTGGGATTGGAAGAGATGGGGGAGGAGGTGGCCCAGAGGTAGGCCCGGGATGAGGAACGGGCTTTTCATGAGATTGTCCTGTTCAACCCCAATGTGTTATGGGACCATCTGTGGGCCGAGTACCCGGCCCGTACAATGAGGGATTTTGTCAGTTACTATTTCAATGAGGGTTTTACACCATGTTTATATAGTATCTAGAGCTTACTCATTGCATTATTGGTGTATAAATTACATTATTGTGCTATAATTCTATATCTTGTGGAAAGGTATTACACGTGTTTGTTTTGTAGATATTTTCATATACTTGTAGAGCTTGTGGCTATTGGAAGCGCATGGTGAGTACCTAAAACCCCCGGGATGATGAAAGATTGATGCATGGATGAAAAAAATGGAAGAAACGAGTGAAACGAGCAAAAATAAGAGTGCAGATTTGTGACACGGGCAGTGACACGGGCACCATGCCCGTGTCAGAGGCCGTGTCACCTCAACAGAGACAATTCATAACCTGGGAGCTGACACGGGGTACGACACGGACCGTGACACGGGCAGAATGGCCGTGTCGCGCGCGCAGGCTGGTTTTTGTTTTGTGCCTATTTTGAAAAGGAGAAGGGTTTTGGACATTATAAAAGGCATATTCACCCTATTTTGAGGAGAAGAACGTGAATACACATTAGAGAGGCCCTAGAACACACAAGGGAAGCAATTGGGAAGCAAAAGAAGATCCAACTACAAAGGGATCAAGAAGATTGAAAGATCGACGAGATTCCTAGTTTTTATTTCTTCTTTCCTTTTGAACTTTTATTGATCATGTCGATTTCTAATATGTCTATGTATTTGAATTCGAACATGAGTAGCTAGTTTATTTGATTCTAAGACTTGGTAGTAGATTAATATGTTGGGATTTTGAATGATTTATTATAATTGATTGTCTTCTTTTGAACCCTATTCAAATATTTTGTTCTTATTTCATGTTTAGCACTTGATCAATGTTTTTACATGTTTGACAATATTGTTCATAATTCGAGAGATGAGTTCAATATTAGGTCTTTAATATTTGACACAATTTACTTGCTTGAATCGAGAGATTAGTAGGTTGTTGTGAGGATATTAGATCTTTTAATCTATTTGGAGTTGAATTGCATGTGTTGAGTGGAGACGCTAATATATGTGATTTAATCTACGGTTTTATCGATCTTGAGAGGGACGATAAGCTAAATTTGTGATCATCTTATAGGGAAGATAAAGAAAACATTGGTTGTGATATTTCTGAAGGAACTCAACTATTAATTGAAACCAAAGTCTTAGAATCTATCGTTCTCATTGTTCGCTAATTATTTTCGCTATCCGCAAGTGTACGGAGTAGCTATAGGTAGTGGCGAGCAAGGTCGTATTCCACAGAGATTGTAGTTAAATTTATTAAGTACTAAAATAATGACGATTAAATATTATCTAGACTAGTGAATTGAACGATGATTGTAAACTAAGAATTAAACTAGAAACTAATTTATCTAAAAAAAATAAAAATAAAATAAGATACAAAAGATAGATTCTAGGCTAAGCGTTCCTCGGAATTAATTCATGAAACGTTTATATTCAAACAAACCTTATTTAATTTTACCAATCGTAGAGATAATCGCTAAATTGATTTCAAACCTTTCTCTCGAACAAGTCAAATCGTAGATATTAATTGTTATCTATCTCCTCTCGGTCTCAAGATGAACAACTAACTCCCATAAGTTCCTAGGATTTTCGTTCTCTCGCAAGGTCCTATCAACCTCTCGGTCTGTTTATTCTCTTACGTTATAAATCTCCCAATTCTAGCAATCAATTATCTCCGCTCGGTCTCAAATCGATCACAAATATGCATTCATAGTGGCCATCTACTCACACAATAATAATAAGCACAAGAAATTTATAAACGAAAGATAAACCGGAATGAAATAAATAAAAACTAAATCATAAATCAATCTGAGTACTAACAAATCCTAGAATCTAAAATAAATCTAGCCTAGAAACATGTTTTCAAAATAATAAAAAGAGATATAAAACATTGAGTTCGAAAGAAGAAAAAGAAAAAGAAAGAAAAAGCTTATTCGGCTCCGTCGATCTTTTCTTCCCGGCTTTCTCCCTCGTCTTGCTCGTGTTTCTAGCCTCCAAGAGTCTCCAAAGATGTGAAAATTATGTCCAAGCCTCCTCAAAAACGTGTCCAAGAGTTGTATAAATAGTCGAGATCGAGTCCTAGTCGAAATAGGTCGAAAAAGCCGAAAAAATAGGAAAACGCGCAAAATCCGATTCTGATGCGTCCAGGGCCACACGACTCGTGTCATAAGCCACACGAGTCGTGTGGAAAAGTCAAGAGCGCGATATACGACCCGTCGGAGCGACACGAGCCGTGTCTCGGGCTCACACGACCCGTGTGTACCTGGGAGTGTTAAACTCCATTTTCGGCGCGGATTTCAGTTACTGGCGTGTTCTACGGGTTCTCAGGCATCTCCCGGTGGTCGTACCTTGCTTCCAGGTGGTCAGCATGCTTCCAGGTGGTCAGCATGCTTCCAGGTGGCCGGCCATGGCGGTTCCCGGCTGATTCCGGCGGCCAGGATTCCTTCGGCGCGGACAGCAACTTCAAGCTTCTTCTCCGGCGACATGATGGCAGCAGCGTTCAGCGAGCTCCGGCGTCTGTGCAGCGGCGAGGTGGTGGACGAGCAGCGGAGCTCCGGCAGCTCTTCAATGGCGGACGTGCAGACATTGTGTGAAGAAGATGAATCCATACTTATCTCATGAAGAAATGACCTTTTTATCCTCATTTAAGTGACCTATGGGCCAGCCCAATCCTAATATGTATTTCATATGTTGGGCTGTATATTTGACTTATTGAAGCTGATTTTTAAAGGCCCAAAGCAAAACTTGTGTCCAATTCACGCTGTTTTCGACTCCAAGAATTATTTCGACCTCGTTTCCTATCAAAACTCAAAATAACACACTTCATCATAGCTTAATAAAAATAATTAAATAAATAATCAATTAAATAATAATTAATTATATAATAATTATTTATATATCAAACTACGACGAAACGGACACGAAAATCACTATAAAATGCACGTAAATATGACGCATGTCACTCATACATCTTCTTACGTGTTAATCCATCTTCTTAGTTTAGTTAATCCATCTCATATTCGGTCGTCTAAATAAAGTTGACACTATCATAATCTGGTACTTGATATATTAATTATTTGGTCTCTTGCGATACGACCTTGCTTGCCACATACTACGAGTGAAGCCGTACACTTGCGGTCGAGCTTTAAAAATATAGGCGAACAAGTTTTTGGCGCCGTTGCCGGGGACTAATATAATTATTTGTATCAATATTATGATAGATAGTCTTGGTTTTAATTTAGATATTTTTTGTATTTCTTTTTAACATTTTCTTTTCTTTTTTCATGATGGATGAGGATGCGGTAGACTATGACTGGCGCCAAGATCCCAAATACTCGGAAGAAGATAAAAGGTGGTATGAGCAGTGTTTGAACTATCAGTTGGAAGAACTTAAAAGGGTCGAGTTGGAGTCACAGCGTCGTAGGAGAGAACTCGAGGAAAGAGGCATTGGGTGTGATGAATGTGGTTTGATGTTGTCACACACACCGGGGAATTGTCCTTTCTCTTGTTTACCTCCTATTTCGCAAGAAGAGCTCGATTACATTCCTCCATGCTTTTTTCCATTAGATAGTGCGCCAGAAAATTCTATCGTTGTCGAAGAACATGAAGCAGAAAAGGGTGTCATCTTTGAAGTTAAATCCCCCACAGTTATTCTCACTGAAGGGATGATTCAAGAGAAATTCTTTAATTCTGAATGTTTAAAAATTGAATTTGTCATTCCATATGATGAGGATGTTGAAGTCTTTGTCATTCAATTTGAGAGGGATAGTGATGCCAAACTTGGTGAACATGAAGAGAACATGATGCTCTCTTATGGATTGAGTCCTTACTGGGAGAAAGTGAAAATTAAAAAGATGAAAAGATCATCAAAATCATTATTTAGAGTTCCCTAATGAGCATTGTCGTCTGGCTGAAGACGTTAAACTTAGCGCTTGTTGGGAGGCAACCCAATGTTTACTGCTTTATTTATTTATTTATTTTTATTTTTTTTTATTTGATATTTTGTTTTTCTTCCTTGCAGAACATTCCGTGGAGAGATTTACATGACGAAGGACATGCTTCGAGATCTATACTAATAGTTGTCATCTCTTCAATGATGTTTTGTAAGTTTTCTCTATTTTGCTTTTATTGAAATTCTATTCTTCCCTTTTGTGCTTCATATAATTTCATTCAAGTTTGGGGGGAGATGTGATATTTCGATTTGAGAAATTTAGAGAAGAAGATAACAAGATATCTTGCATATCATTTAGTTGCATGTTAGGTTTTATCGCTTTAGCATGTTTATTGCTTTCTTAGGAGTTGAGTAGTTGTAGTTGATCGACTTTGATCCACCTTGATGAGTTTCTTGTGCATATTTGATATATAATTCGGGCATAATGTGCTAAGTGATGGAATTTGAGAATTGATGGAATTGTGAATTTGAATGATCGGTTGACACTTTTAATTCATGAATATATGATCCTTTGTGAGCTTTTGAGCCTTATATTTTTTTGATTGAGTGTATCATTCATTGTTGATTGAATTCTAGAACTTGCATTGATATCTTTATCGAGACCACATGGTGTGTGCTTTATGTGAAAATGATCTAAGGCATATTTTTGTTTGAGCCTTTTTCGACCCTTTTAGCTTACCAAATGATATTTTTATTCCCTATTTAACCCTTTTGAGCTTTTGCCTATTTTCTTTGAATGCCACATATTGAGCTACATCTATATTTTCCTTGTCCTTACTTGAGCATTTAGGATTATATTATGTGAAGAGGATGAGTGTATTGTTTGTGGTTTGGATAAAGGGAAGACGTGAATGGGAGTGTAAGTTGATGAGGGAAGTTGAATGAGGTTGATAGAGTCGAAAAAAAAAAGATTATATAAAAAAAAAATTGA